AGTTCAGTTTAATGGCGTTCTCTGCTGAAACAAAATCTCTGATTCCAAGACTTGCATGTTTGTTTTATTGATCTAACCCCCACCACTCTCCCCACTCCCCTCCCCCATCCCCCCCACCCCCAACACACTCACACACCCTTGTTGCTGTCTACGTCACTCTCATATTCCCACAGCAGTTCTGGGAAAATACCACAATGGAGATGGGAAGTTTCAAGGGCCACTACAACTGATTAGGTGAATAGTTTGGGAGAAGTATTCTTCCTTATACTTTCAGGAGTATAAGACTAAGTGGCACACGCAGGAATCTGTATGTGTGTGTTTTCTCGGTGCTCCCAAAGTTCAGGATGTTCTTTGTGAGGAAATAAAGAACATAAGAATTAGGAGCAGGAGTAGGCCATTCGGCCCCTCGAGCCTGCCCCGCCATTCAATAAGATCATGGCTGATCTTCTGACCTAATTCTAATTACCTGCCCTATCCCCATATCCCCTAATCCCTCTATTTTTAAAAAATCTATCAGTCTCAGCCTTGAAGATGTTCAAGGACTGAGCATCTACAAGAAATGTTTCCTCAACTCTGTTCTAAAAGGCTGATTCTTAATTTTAAGACTGTGACCCCTGGTTACAGATTCTCCTACCAGGGGAAACAGACCCTCAGTGTCTACTTTATCCAGCCCTTTAAGAGTCTTATATGTTTCAATAAGATCTCCCCTAATTCTTCTGTACTCTAGAGAATATAGCCCTAGTTTATTCAGCCTATCCTCATAGGTCAGTCCCCTCATCCCAGGAACTAACCGAGTGAATCTATGCTGCACCCCCTCTAGGGCAAGTATGTCCTTTTTAAAATAAGGAGACCAAAACTGCACACAATACTCTAGGTGTGGTCTCACCAAGGCCCTATACATTTGCAGCAAGACTTCCCTACTCTTGTACTCTAAACCTTTTGCAATGAACGCTAACATGCCGTTCACCTTCTTAGTTGCTTGCTGCACCTGCAAACTAACTTTTTGAGACTGGTGTACAAGGACACCCAAATCCCTCTGAACACTAACACTATCTAATCTCTCCCCCTCTAGAAAATAATCTGTTTTTCTATTTTTTCTACCTGGGTGAATAACTTCACACTTCCCCACATTAAATTCCATCTGCCATCTACACGCCGACTCCCCTAGCCTATCTATATCCCGTTGCAATCTTTTTGCATCATCCCCAGAGTTTACTCTCCCACCTAGTTTAGTGTCATCCGCGAATTTAGATACGTTACATTCAATGTCCTCGTCTAGATCATTGATGTAAATTGTAAATAGCTGAGGCCCAAGCACTGATCCTTGTGGCACTCCACTAGTCACATCCTGCCAATTCGAGAATGACCCGTTTATCCTACTCTCTGTTTTCTACCCGTTAGCCACTCTTCAATCCATGCTAATATGTTCCCATTAATCCCGCGGGCCTTAACCTTGTGCAATAGCCTTTTGTGTGGCACTTTGTTAAATGCCTTTTTAAAATCTAAATATACTACATCTACTGGTTCCCCCCATCTAACCTGCTAGATACATCTTCAAAAAACTCCAAAAAATTAGTTAAGCATGACTTCCCTTTTGTAAAGCCACGTTGACTCTGCCTAATCTTGTTATGGTCTTCCAGGAATCCCATAACGACATCTTTAATTAAGGACTCAAGAATTTTCCCTACCACTGATGTCAGACTAACTGGTCTATAGTTCCCCAGAAGATATTAGTTTAACTAGAATGCTCAGTCTGAATCTGTCTCCCGTGGTACAATACTGTAAGCTGATTCAGAAAGTTAATGTATTTGCATTCATGTATGAAATGATATAATGATAACAAAAATGAACGACATGATTATAATCAGGTTTCAACCTATGTAGTATACCTGTAAATATAATTGCTGTACTTTCAGTGGAGTCCTGTAGCTCAGTGGTTAGAGCACTCGCTTTGCAAGCGAGAGACCTGGGTTCAATTCCAGGCAGAGGGCGAAACCTTGGGCAAGTTTCCTTACTTCACACACCTAATAATAATCCCTCCAAAATACCAAAAACAATAATAAATTGGTCATTTTCACGACTGTTTGTGGGACCTTGCTGTGCGCAATTGGCTGCCGCGTTTCGCCCACAAATATACAGTCGATTCACTTTACAGTGTGTTCTGTGAAGCGCTTTGGGACGTCCTCCCGACGTGAAAAGCGCTATATCAAATGCAAGGATTATTATTATTATTACTATAGAGCACTCACCTTGCAAGAGAGAGACCTGGGTTCGATTCCTGGTAGGGTGAAACTTTGGGCAAGTTTCCTTACTCCACACACCTCTGTTTACTTAGCAGTAAGTAGGAACCCGGTTGTTAGTCGATTGGTGGATTGCTTTGCTGGGGATAATAATCCCTCCAGAAAAAAAATAATAATTTGGTCACTCAATCCACGACTATTTGCGGGACATTACTATGCGCAATTGGCTGATGCATTTTGCCCACAAAATATACATAAAATTCACTTTACAGTATATTCTGTGAAGCGCTTATTCTCAAAGACGTGATAAGGCCCCTCCTGATCTCATCACCAGCTCGGTGAAGATCCCTGACTGTTCAGCGCCTTGGGGCGTCCTCCTGACATGGAAGGTGCTATGCAAATGTAATTTGTTGTTATTGTTGTATCAAATGCAAGGATTATTATTATCACCTTTGAGGGTTAAATGGTGGTACAATAAAGGGACAGGACCTGTTTAACCTAATGGTTGATAACTGATGAAAGAATCACAGAAATCGTTTTGATGATGAGCACTCAGTCCACCACTGTATGTGTTGATTCAAATATCTTTCAGAATAGATGGAGAAGGTCTTCACTGTGATGCTGCCCTCTTGTCACAGCTGGAAAGCCTTGTGTAGTTATTGTCTCTGTTTTGAAGGGCTGTGACTTGTTTTGCTTCATATATTTGTGATGAAAAGAGACTTATGATTGATGGGAAGATGGAAAACACAAATTGATTTTTATCCAAGAGAGTCTCTTTATACACACCACAATGCTTTGTTTCACCCAATGTAGGAGAGGAGAAGAATCTCCTATTGCCTAAATAGAGAGCACAGTATGGAATCAGGCCCTATATTCATAAATATCCTGCTTTTAAAACTGACATTTTTGTATTTCATTGACACACTGGGCTCTCTGTTTGTTCATAATTAGAAGTGTTATTTGACATTCCTGTGCACAAATGGGTTGGCGCATTCGCCTACAAGTACACAGTCAGCAAACTTTACAGAATATCCTGTGAAGCGCTTTGAAATGTCACGTCCTCCTAACATGAAAGGTCTTATACCAAGTGCAAGCATTTATAATTATTATAGTGACTATCATGTCAAGAGAATGTCTCAAACGATTTACCGTAAAATGTCTTGACTGTGTATTTTATTGGCAAACATGACAGCCAATTTGCACATAGTAATGCCCCACAAACAGCCATGAAGTGAATGACCAATTTTATCTGAGGGATTGTTGGTCAGGAAACAACTCCCAAGCAAGCAAGAAATTCCCTTCTCTTTTTGATTAGTGCCATGAGATCTTTAACATCCTTAACAGTGAGACAGGACCTTGTTTAAAATCTCCCAACAATTTTGCAGCCTACCGTACTGCATTGGAGTGTCAGCCTGAACTATGTATGTGGGTTTACAGTCCCGACATGGGGCTTCAACCGACAACTATCTGACTCTTGTTGATTAATCCACTTTAAGAGTCAATAGACGATTAAATGGGAACCAATGAAAAAAAATACCAGAAGAAAAGATTCTGGGAGAACAACTATTATGGGTTTATGGTTGGAATCTTTGTAGTTTGTTAGGAATTGCGCACAGAGAATAAAGAAGTTACTTAATACACCAGTGTTGTGGATTGAGAATCATTATAACTCTGAGGTGAGAGTGCCAGGCTGACACGTAAACCCAGGTTGGTGGGTTTTTTACAAAACAGAAAACCAGGCAATAGGTTAGGTAGTGGGTAGATATTGCAGCAATACACCTACCTGAGGGCCTGCGCCAGGCTCGTGCATACCAGGATCAGGGACTGTATACTGAGGGACGTGCTGAAACTTGGCACAACCTTGGTAAAGGCCAGATGGGCGGGAGCCGCTCCTGCGCAAACCGCTCAGGGCGCACCCACCGGGTAGTCCACGAGCGCACCCAAAACTAAGACTAAAATACACGTGAAGGTAACCATATAAATGTACAGAAGGACGCTCGAGATGTAAACAAAGAGCGTCCTGAAAATGTATGTACGGTAAACGTGTGTGTGTGTGTGTGTGTGCGGTGCACATCGGGGCGTTTTCTGAAAGCGGCAAGTGCGCCTTATAATAATAATAATAATAACCCTTGCATTTGATATAGAGCTTTTCACGTCGGGAGGACATCCCAAAGCGCTTCACAGAACACATTGTAAAGTGAATTGACTGTATATTTGTGGGCGAACGCGGCAGCCAATTGTGCACAGCATTGTCGCACAAACAGTCGTAGATTGAAAAATTTATTATTGTTTTTGGTTTTGGAGGGATTATTATTAGGCTCTGTGTGGAGTAAGGAAACTTGCCCAAGGTTTCGCCCTCTGCCTGGAATTGAACTCAGGTCTCTCGCTTGCAAAGCGAATGCTTTAACCACTGAGCTACAGGACTCCTCCTTATCAGGGTGTGCGCAGGCGGGCACGTGGATGTGGGCACAGGGGCGACTCCCGAATGTTTTAAAGGGAGTGTCTCAAAAAAAACGTGTGCATGACCTGTGTGGGGTGAAGGATTATACTATAAACAACAGATTGTTTTTGTATTGGGAGAAAGGAAAAAATGTAACAGAAGATGTTGTACGTTGTGTGTGTTTTGGATTTCTGTTGTACCAAATAATATATTTATAAATAAATATATGTTTAAAAAATATAGATATTGCAGTTGGACTTTTATTTATCAAGTTCTACTTTGACACATTTCACATGATCTGTATTTTCCTCTGCCCACAGGTATTTTCCAACTAAACTCAATAATAAAAGGAAGTTCTGCTTATGGCTGCTCAGGGTAAGCTCACTGTTGCACCAAAAATAATAGATTTAATGTATGTTTTAATGTATGTGAAAACTCAATTTCTATATAATTAAACATATGTGAGCAGGATGGATTGCCTAGCAGCTCTGTCCCAAAATAATGCTTACCACAAGCTAAAAAAGGTATCATTTTGGGTCATTTTGTAGCACTCTAGCCTATGGATTGGAGAGTTGTTGTTTCAAGCCTTAATGGGTTCTCGAACTCTTAGCATAGGGTGGGGTGCTAGTGCTCTCCTGTGGTAGTGTGCTGCATTGTTAGAGGTTCAGTCTTTCGGATAATGAAATGTTAAACGGGTCTCACCAGCCTATCCTTGGATGTACATTAAAGATCCCATGGCATAATAATAATAATCCTTACATGACCCGCTCTGTGCCATGACCCGGTCTACCTTCCCCCACCTCCACAACATTGCCCGGCTCTGTCACTGCTTTTCCCATCAGGTCACCAAAACCCTCATCCATGCGTTTATTATGTCTAGGCTTGACTATGCCAACACCCTGTTTGTTGATCTTCCCTCCATAAGCCACAGATCATCCAGAACTGTGACCTGCTCACGCCACATCAACCTATCCGGTTCTCTCCACTCAGCGGTTTGTTATCCATGTCCCCCGCCTGGCCTGCCCCAACTTCAGCGGTCAGGCTTTCAGCCTCTCAGCCCTCACCCTTTGCAACTCCATCCCACAGTCCCTTCGCTTTGCTCCCTCGCTTGCCTCCTTCAAGGAGAGTCTCAAGACCCTACTCTTTGACTGGCCTATCCTTGGTCATCCTCCTACCCCTACCTTTCCTGCCCTCCACCCCTCCTGATCCCAATCCCTTGCTCTGGTCCAAATCTCTTGACTGTGGAGCACCTTAGGATTTCCTCTCGACATGAAAGGTGCTATACAAATGTAATGTGTTGTTGTTCTTGCATTTGATATAGCGCCTTATCACGTTGTCGAGACATCTCAAAGCACTTCATAGGATATACTGTAACGTGGTTTGATTATGTATTTTGTGGGTGAAATGCGGTAGCCAGTTTGTGCACAGCAATGTGTCACGAACAGCCATGGAGTGAGTGATCAATTTTATTTGAGGAATTGTTAGCCAGGATACCAGGAGAAACTCCATTCTCTTTTTGGACAGTGCCATGGGATTTTTAACATCTACCTGAACAGGCAGATTGACCTCGAGTTAACATCTCATTTGAAAGATAGCACCTTGAACAATGCAATCTCCCTTCCTCCAGCACTGCAATACAGTGTCACCTTAGACTATGTGATTCCAACTCTCGACATGGGGCTTGAACTAACAACCTTCTGACGCAGAGGCGAGAGTGTTACCACTAACCAGGCTGACACACATAAATTGAAAAGGGAAAGCAATTGCTCCTGATGACCTGGCCAACCATCCTCTTGAATTAAATGATGAAATAATCCTTGCATTCAGTAAAGCGCCTTGCACATCAGGAGGATGTCTCAAAGCATTTCACAGGTTGAACTGAGAAGTGGATTACTTATGTGCTTTGTGGTGTATGTGAAATGATCACTTATGTGGGTGAAATGATCTCTTACCTCTTGGATGTTTGTGGATCTTGCTGGTTCATATGGCTGCCTTATTTGGCTATATAATCAATAATCGGGCACTTTAAGGCATTTCACTATGATAAGGTGTTCTAACAATGTTTAGTTCTTGAGTGTAATTATTTGTATGATACTATTGGCATTGTGATTATATTAAATTAAAACATTTACAGAGCACAATTGAGTCAGGCTCTAGGTTCCAGATCAGAAATTATAATCCAGTCTGACAGCATAGCATATTAAGAAAAAAATCCCTTGTATTTTCTTTTTCAGGTCCTTATTCATATCCTGCATATGGACCCACAGCCCCTCCATGTCCTTCTGTCCCAGATTCACAAGGGCCTTATCCACCACCTCCACAATATGGGATTCCTCCAGCAGGCTTTACCGGTAACCCATTCTTCTTAGGATTTCATGGCTGTTTGAAATATTGGTAGTAAAACAGTTCTATCCCCTACAACAACTGAAGGTCAGCAGCATTTTGTGGTGAAAAAACTGCTGACACATGCGCAAATATGGTTATAGATGATGGGACTCTTTGCATGTCAGTTGCTTGTATGTAAAAGTCAAATTTTGGGGGTATAATTTTAGCCAGTGGCAGTCAGATGCAGATCTGACCAACTCACAACTGCCTGCTGATAGGTCACTACTTTATTCTTTGAAACCTGGTTGCAAAGGTTGTAGTATTTCAGTGCTCTCTATATAACTATTGACTGTTGAACTGTCATAAAATAAACAATTATTTAACATCCAGATTGCATGCATTGTTTCACCATTAATTAAACAATAAATACAATGTGTCCTTAAAGGACGATATTTCTGTATTGCACTGATTTAGCAGAAGATTTTAATTTGGAAAGGAAAGGAATTAAATTAAATTAAAGCTGCTGAAGAAAGGTATAATGCATGAGCTGCAGAGTTTTGAATGGTTTGTGGCTTGTGGAGGCAAGAGTTGGGAAGTCCGACAAGCAGAGAGTTGGCATAGTCAAGCCTGTATGTGATATATAAGGGATTCACTAACCCCAGAGGAGAGAGAGTGGTGGAGGCAGGCAATGTTGCGGAGGTGGGGAGAAAGCTGAACGGATCAAAGCACGGATGCGAGACAATATTGAGACACTAGAGTCATGGCAATCACTTCAGTGCCTTGGGACGTCCTCCTGACGTGAAAGGTGCTTTACAAATGTAATTTTGTTGTATTTTACTGTTGTTGTTTTCCATCGCGTGGCCGAAGCAACTTCTTTGCTGCGCAACTTTGCTGAGCAAAACCTTTGTCTTGGTAGAAATGTTCTGATGCCTGCTCTCTGTCCTGGTTCTTGTAGCCTCCCAGCTCTGAGAAAATGCAAGGAAGAGCAGGAGGTATTTGTATTGTAAAAGATTGATTTTAAAAACTAATCTAGATGGTTAAAGCTGGATTGAGAGAGAGTAAGACAAATGAAAGCTGAGAATGGATGAGAAAAAAATCAGTGAGAAGAATTAGTATTACAAACTCACAGTGCAACTGTAATAATTCCCAATCCAAAGCACAAGCGTTTTAGGCAATTTATTAGTAATCCAAACCCCCAAAGATAGCCCACACACAATAGCGACATTCCCAGTGTCCTGTATATACTTCCTGTTTTTTTCTTACTCAAATGGGGCCATCAACCTTAAAGGGATATCCTACACAAAAATAGCAGTTTCAGCACCAATCCAGACCACTTGATAATCACTGAATAAAAGGTACAATTTGGACAGCAAAGGGATTGTTCAGCACTCAGAGCAAAAGTGGTCTATTTGTTTACATTCTCTCTTTCTGTGTGACCAGTTCCTCAACAAGGCTACGCTGCCTACATGCCACCTACAGCTCCTATGTTAGGTCAGCAAGGAGGTGGACCAACACATCCCCAAGTGCAGGGGACGCAAATGCCAGCCTGGAATCCAAATTGTCCTCCTGGACTGGAATATCTTACAACAGTAAGCATGTGATGGTTTTCTTTCAATTATTCATTTACAGTTGAAATCAGGTGTCAGCCTGGCTCCGTGGGTTGCACTCTTTGTGTCAAAATAAAGATATATTCAGTCAGGAAAATTTATTTTGTTGGTCGACCCAAAATGGTTCGCCACCACTGAAATAAATGGACAACTTCTTTACTGACAATTTCCGTTTATAATTCTGGTCCAGTGTTAAAATGCAATCATTCTTTCCACAGATTGATCAGTTACTTGTTCATCAAATTGTTGAGCTTCTCGAAGGCAAGTGACAGTTTGAAAATATTTCTAGTTTTAATTTCTGCATAAGTGAATAACAAATGATATTTTAGCAATTGTAAATTGTTACCTCCAATTCTGACCTGATGATCTGGAAATCAGCCTTTATCGAGGAAACTAGCCATTAGCTGGAAACAAGCACAGTGACTTCTTTTGAGGCTGGTTGGAATTTTATGGACCCCAAATTTTGCCTTATAATAAGGCGCCAGTGTATTAGGATTTATTTATCCATACCCTTCAGAATCTTTAATATTTACAGAAGATCTTCCCTGAGCCTTATCTCTCGTGTAAATGTTTCCAGGATCTGTAGCATTTTGTCATAACTCAGGTGCCCAACTCCAGCTATCAGGTTAGTTGCCTAATACCAAGATGTCTTTACTGTAAAAAACAAACAAGACCTTTTCTAGGTCAGATCAGAAGAATGTCCTGTACAACTTTAATTTTACTTCCTGTGACTTATCCTCTGACCTGTTTTCTTTGCTGCAGCTGCACGTTGTGCTAATAGTTTTAGTGATAATAATCACTTGTGATAATAATCCCTCAAGAAAATAAAAAGGTAATAAATTGGTCACTTCAAACCATGACTGTTCGTGGGGCATTGCTGTGCGCAATTGGCTGCCGCATTTCGCCCTCAAATATATAGTCAATTCAGTTTACAGTCTATTCTGTGAAGCGCTTTGAGACGTCTAGAAGACTTGAAAAGCGCTATATCACATGCAAGGATTATTATTATTATTACTGCTCCCCAATCCCTCTCCTGTATCCTGTCCTGTAGACTAATACCATTTAGTTTAGATTCCCAGCGTTTATGCGTCTTTGCCCATTTCAGCACACGAGTTAAGAGCATGTTTGGAACTCTGCTTGGTTAGATATCCTTAAGAATGGTGATGGGTATTTGCATGTCTCAGTCACCAAAATCTTGCGAAGTGCTTAGAGAGATTTTGACAATGTGATAAGCCACTATATCAAGGATTATATTATAATATACTTAATTCACACAGAAGTGTTCTTATCCTCTACAAGTCGATGGTTTGCTTGTGTCAGTTTGCATGCACTACCTTATTAACCCCAAAATACACAGTAAATTCACTAGTATATATGCTGAGACAGCTCAATGATGTGATAAGGTGCTATATTAGATGCAAAGATTATTATTATTAAAACCACAAGCTACATAATGATTGGTATTGAAACTCCTTGCAATTTTATATTTCAGCTTTAGTAGGATTTGAGACCCAAAACAAATACGAAGTGAAGAATAGCTTGGGTCAGAGAATTTACTTCGCAGTTGAGGAAAGTGATTTCTGTAACCGAATGTGCTGTGGAGCTAATCGAGCGTTCACCATAAAGATTTTGGACAACGTAGGACAACCTATCATACAGTTTACCCGCCCACTGGCATGTGGCTTTTGTTGTTGCCCTTGCTGCCTAAACACCGTGAGTAAATCAAAATTGTTTTGACTTTTGGAGTAATTAATAAGGTAACCAGCATATGTAAAGCTTTTCATGTTGTTCTAAAAACGTTTTGGCCCAGATTTCTGTGACCTAACACACAATTAAAATGATGCAATCGTATCAGAAGACATGAATCTCTTCATAATAATAATAAGAAGAATTTGGTCACTCAATCCATGGCTATTTGTGGGACACTGCTGTGTGCAATTGGCTGTCGCATTTCACCCACAAAATATACAGTCAATTCACTTCACAGTATATTCTGTGAAGCGCTTTGAGACTCTTAGAAGACTTGGTAAGGCACGATATCATATGCAAGGAATATTATTATAATGTAGATGAAATGCCGTTGATTTTTTAAACAATGAAAGTGTGTTTGCTTAAGAGTGTCCAAACCAAACTGAGTTCCATGCACTTCACCTACACATGGACAATTCCCATGTATTAGGACTGAGATTGGAATAAGAGGTTGATGGAGGCAGATTGTCTCAGCAAATTAGAGAGAAAATTATACAGTTATTTGATGAAGATATAGTTTGAGAGGCATGGGAAAGTCGTATGTGACTGCTTCTTTAGTTTGAGTCAGCCAGGTGGACTGTAATTTTTTTTCAGTATGTTCCTATAGTTTATTTGTGGATCATAAAAACAAATGCATAAGATGTTCACTTTTTCAAAAGCTTTCATCCCTTTGTGTGTTATAAGATTATTGTTTTATCTAACGGAACAAAAGAGGAAATGTGTTTACATCAAGAAATTGTGTAGTGTTTTTTTTCTTCAAAACACATAGATTTGTTTGTTTAAACTATTTTGTGGTAGGTGTGTGCATTCCTTGGGTTCAAATATATTTGATTGAGATTCATGGTCTATTGTAATAATCTTACTGTTATTATTATAGGTTGTTACACCACTGTTACACTGGCCACCTTGACTTCCCATTTTGGACATACAGTATTACAGTTGCACCACTTTTGTCTATTGCACATTCTATATGATGGATAGTGTCAACCACTAATTTCTACACTCCTCCCTCTCCTGTTTTTTTTTTGCCAGTGTTGCCAGTTTCTGACAGTATTCTGCCATTTCAAAAGGATTTGGGGCTTTGAAGTGCTGATTCCCATTGAGATTTAAAGAGGGCTCAAAAATGCATGTGGACCATCAAACTACATTACTGTAGCAGTTTAGGGGAGACCCACAATGATTGCTACCAAATTCGCTATAATATAAGTGATATTGGGGTCATTTTTTTCTTTCACGGAGATTTGTGTGGAGAAATTTCACCTGCGCCTGTATTTACTCTTATTTATTTAATCTTTCAGGATGTAGCAAATTCTTAAACCCACTCATAATTTCGAACTACCACAAAATCAGCTTTAGAGTTTGGACTGAATTCAACAATTTGACAATTTCTGCTTACTCAAATCTTACATAAATACAATAAATCTAACCCTTGTTTGAGTTTTTTACCCCAGGGATGTTTTATCTTGGAAGAATTTTCTCTGCCTCTCCATCTGCAGCAAATTGTAATTGTGACCATACTGCAAGAATGCCAGCATTTATACATGCCTTAACAAAAGGCACAATGAATTGCATATGGTGAATGAATATAACAATAGTCATCATATAATAATCCTTGCATTTGGTATAATAATAATAATCCTTGCATTTGATATAGCGCTTTATCACATCTTTGAGACGTCTCAAAGCACTTCGCAGAATATACCGTAAAGTGAATTGACTGTATATTTTGTGGGCGAAATGCAGCAGCAATTGCGCACAGCAGTGTCCCACCAACAATCGTGGATTGAGTGACTGAAATATAATTGTTCATTTTTTGTTTGATGGGATTATTACCCCCGGAAAAAAGTGATCCGCCAATCGACTAACAACCGGGTTCCTACTTACTGCTAGGTAAACAGGTGTCTGGACTGAAGAAACTTGCCCAACATTTCGCCCTGCCGGGAATCAAACCGAGGTCCTCTCTCTTGTGAGGCGAGTGCTCTAACCATTAAGCAACAATATTGTAGTGGGATGTCAGTTAGGATGTACAGTTAACTGCTATAGTTACAGCAGCCTGATTATAATTTAATCGGACACTACCATTTCTGTATTGTTATAAGGTGTAAATTAGCAAGGTGTTCACTTAACTGCTGGATGGCGTTACACCACCCTGATCATCAGTTAATCGAACACTACCATTTCTGTACTTTGTCCTAATAATAAATATTTCTTAAAAGCAAAAAGTAAAATTGGGATGAAATCAATGAGCTGTATCCAATTTTTCTGATGTAAGCTAATATTAGGTTAGTTGCTTTTGAAAGAACCAAAATAACCTTACACTAATTGGTCAGTTGTTTGAGAATTGTAATTTAATTCAAGCCCATATGTTTTCCATGGATATGTATCTTCCTGTAGCCCTTGGCAATGGTTAGGTAATTGTTCTATCCATGAATATCCTTGCAGAGCCTTATGTGTGTCTGGTTAGGGATACGGGTATATAGGAATACTCTGGTAATTGATTTGACTTAGAATTAGAGATCCTCTGTTTGAATCCTGATGGAGTCACTCAACCACTTACCTACTTGAAGTTGATAAAATGGATGCCATGCATGTGGGGGAAGTAATTCAGGCCTCCTTACTGTGAAACTTGCCTGAGGAAGCACAGCTAGCAAAGCTTGTCAGGTTTACAGTAAGCCAGGGCATTATTGATGCTTGTCTGGCTCATCAATAAGAAATAGACTTTCCCTGCATGGAAGACCCTGCAAAACTAAATCTTCACAGGTTAGCTGGACAAGTACCAGGAAACTAGTAGATTGTATGACTAATATTATTTATGCATTTTAAGGAAGGGGAAAGCTACATGAAGATTAAAAGCTCTGACAATTGGTCAGGATAGTAAATTATAGATAATATGATATTTCAGCTCTGGTATGTGGATTTTCTGCAGGAACCTGTGTTTATTTCCTAATTTGTTTCTTCTAATTACTGAAAAGGGTGTGGAAGCTTTTTATTGCACAGTACAGGCTTTTGTTTGTAACCCATTGGTAAAAGATGAGGAAGATGCAAATATTTGGATGGCATTAGTGTAGAACAGCCAAAGAAACAACGGATTATTTGTGCTGCACTGAATTCAGAACTGAGTGAAAGCTTGCACGAGGAAGGGAATGAATATCTCTTCAATATGGAGTCCTGTAGCCTAGTGATTAGAGTACTCGCCTCGCAAGCGAGAGGGCCTGGGTTTGATTCCTGGACAGGGCAAAACATTGGGCAAGTTTCCTTACTCCACGCTCTTCTGTTCATCTAGCAGTAAGTAGGAACCTGGTTGTTAGTCAATTGGTGGATCGCTTTTCCGGGGGTAATAATCCCTTCAAAATAAATAAATAAAATAATACTAATTTGGTCACTCAATCCACGACTGTTTGTGGGACATTGCTGTGCGCAATTGGCTGCCGCATTCGCCCACAAATATACAGTCAATTCACTTTACAGTCTATTCTGTGAAGCGCTTTGGGACATCTAGAAGGCGTGAAAATTGCTATATCAAATACAAGGATTATTATTATATACAATCAAATTCACTTTGCAGTATATCCTGTGAAGCGCTCTGAGACGTCTTGAAGACGTGATAAGTATATCAAATGGAGTATATCAAAAAGGATTATTATTATTACACAAGTCTGAAGTTTTTATTGTAAAATAATAAAAAAAGAAATTCTGTTTATTTTGAGAGCCCAGGCTTTCAGCTATTCTGCCCCCACTTTTTGGATCTCCGTTCCAGAGTCCCTCCGACTTGCTCCTTCTCTCACCTTGTTCAAGATCCATCTCGAGATGTAACTCTTTGACTGCACTTTCGCTCATTTATTTGGTTGTTTTTGTACCTGCTCCTCCAATCTCCCAGGCTTGTCATGATGCTTTCACTTCCTTTCCTCCCTGAAACTGGTGTTTAATTATAGCTGCTACATACACAAAGATCTAGTAGCTTGAGTTCAATTACTGTAAAATAAACCTCAACATTTATGTAAATACAAGACATGATTCCATCTAACTTAATTTTTAATTTATAAATCATTAACTGATTTATTCTTTTAATGTTCAGCATAATGTATAATGCTGTTTTACCTTTGCTTCAATATTTTTATTTGTTTTTATCTACCTGTTGCAGATGGAAGTTGAGGCACCCCCAGGAAATATTATTGGCTATGTTACTCAGGAGTGGCATCCCTTTCAACCTAGATTCAATGTCCAGGATGAAAAACATGAAACTGTGCTGAAAATCAAAGGCCCTTGTTTGGCATTCAATTGTTTCGGTGATGTAGGCTTTGAAGTAAGTAGGCAATAATAATAGTAGGTAAAAGCAGAAGGTTGAAAACGCCATCAAGAGATGTCTATTTACACAGGTAGATGCAAAGCTAATTATACTTTGTACATTCGTGGTAGATGAAGTGGGTCATTTGAAGCATTGTCAAACATAAGTGTGCGTGAAAGTTGTATATTTTAAGGCCATCTTTCCCTTCTCTACCGCCTTCGGCTCCCACTCTCAGATCAGGTGCCAAGCCTTTTAAGTGCTTTGGGATATCCTCCCAATGTGAAAGCTACCGCATAAATGTAAATTTGTATTGTATTTGTATGGCTGTCCAGCAAACTAGGTCCAGGTGGGACAAAGAACAGGTAGAGCGTTAACCTAATGCATCAAAAGTGTGCCAAACCTAAAATTTCAGACGTGTCTTTTAAATAAAAATCCTTTGATTGTGCCATTTGATTAGATTTTTTTATTCTGAATACTTAAAATATATAAAATATCATTAAAATGAATTGTAGTGTGTAATTTATTGGTGTAACAATCAATTCAAACTTTCTGACTGAAATGGCCAAATTAATTTGGGGTAAAATTTTATTATAAAGCTCTAAATTAAAATTGATAATGACAAATTAATAAATCATTCATTGGTTAATTTTTTTTTGGTCAGCTGGGTGTCTGATACACGTGGAAACCTATCACCATGCTTAAGAGTATCCAAAATAGACAGAGTTCCAGATATGTAGGCATTTATTTACCTACACAGGGGCATTTCGGTGTGTCTGGTATGGAAGTGCACTCCCTTTCTGGAGGGACTCACTTGCTTATCTAATTCCAGAGAGTAGTAAGCACAAGGTGAGGCTTGGGGACCCCAGATTGTGTGTTGGAGTATTGTACTGCTGGAGTTTAACCAGCTAAAACTGCATAGCTTGTCATTGAGAGCAAGATTCCAGCTGCATGTTCAGCCAGGACAAATAACAACAATTTACATTTGTATAGCATCCTTAATATTGGGAGGATATTGCACAGCATTTGCTCTACCAGTTAGGGATTTGGCTTGCTGGAACTGAATGGAAACAATCCCTTCTCTCTGTCACTGATCTGCCCCTTCAAGTCCTGCCGCTAAGCCAGGCTGGTTAGTTGGTCATCAGCAGTGCCCTGGTTAATTATATAATTGAGGGTTCCTGTCATTTCCTCTGAATGTGGGCAATTTTCATGCTGTAATCAATACAGCTGTGTTTACAATTGTTTGCATATGTTGCCTAATGTCTATTTTCTGTGATAACTCACACTGAAAAATAAAATATTTAATTGTGAATTATATGAATTACAAGATATTAAGAATGCAGTGGTTATATTGTGCTATTGTGTATTACTGACCCAGCAGATTCATTGGGTGGAAATGTTGGAACATTTATTTTTCAGCATTATGATTCTCAAACCATCAGAAAATCAACCTACAAGAACTTGTGTAGGTGGAATAACACAGGGAGCCCTGTTTCATTCTGGCCAATGTCTTTCAAGTTAATTTATGTGGAAATAGTGTTTAGACTATTGATTCTGGAGTTGAGAGGAATCAGTAAAAAGTTACATTTTTAAATGTTTTATATAGTGTATAGTTTGGGAAATGACATGAGCATGCGACTTCCAGGATGGTGGAAGACGAACTGGATGAACCTTGGTCTTTTAGTACTAAGTACTAACAATACTTGTTAATACTAATTACCGAAGGCACTGCCCAGTGTAGCACAAAGATGAAAGGGATTTGAGGTGCTACATTTAACCTCAATGCCCCCTGGTTTAGAGGGTAAATATAAGTCAAGGTCATCACTCCAGAACGCTATACAGAGACCCATACTGGAAAGTGCATGTAAGTGGGTGTTGGGTGAAAAAACAGGTTCATCTCAGCTGTGATGTCCCATAGTCAAACAGCAACTAGGCTTGATATGAATAGTTTCACACACCAGCACGAGCTATGCACTAGTTGAATTAAAAGGAGGAAAAGGGAGAATATTAGAAAAGAAAATGTTGACGCTTTGTTCAAATATTATCTGCTTTATTTAATAGGTGGTGAGTCTGGATGAAAGCAACATTGTCGGTAGGATAACCAAACAGTGGTCAGGGCTGAGTCGAGAAATGTTCACTGATTCGGATAGCTTTGGAATTCAGTTCCCTATGGATTTGGATGTTAAAGTTAAGGCAGTTCTTCTTGGGGCATGCTTACTGGTGGTAAGTGGTAAAATGTTTTTGTAATTGGCAGTGTATGAGGGGAAAAGGTGGCGCGCTGAGAGAGCTAAAATAGTGATGAACTCAAACTTTGAAAGTTCACAATACTCAACAGGAGGCCATGTCTCACTATCGGGATGTGAATCCAATTTTCTGCTAGCACCATATTTGGAGCAATATGAGTGACAGTATCATGTTTGCTGGCACTGCTAGGAGGAGTTGGTAGTGTTGAAGATTATTGGCCTAGAATGATGGCAACCTGTGCTGCACTGTGCACATCCCTGTGCTAAAATTCTGCTTTTTCCATTAGCTGCAGTTATTTTGCAGGGAACGTTCTTGAAAACATGTTTTGAGCTAGAGATTCATATTACAGCAAATCAGTAGCATTGTATTCCCCATTTGGCATCAATATTGGTACATTACACAGCATGGCACAGATGCTAAATGTGCAGTGTAACTGCAACATTACTTTTTCCAAATCTTCCCTTTTTTTCTCTATCCTGAAACCAGTAATTTCTGTCCTAGAATTTGTCTGCATGGAAGCATCAGCTCCCTAACTGATTCAGGCAACAAACTGTTCTTCAGGTATAAGTCCAGTGCCTTGGGTTGTTCCTCCCAACGTGAAAGGCGCTATACAAATGTAATTTGTATTGTATTAAGTCTGGGCAGTGAGTGTAACTTGGCCACAGAGTCATAACATCTGAGACCTAACTAGTCTTTCTCAAATATCTATACTGGCATACATTTCAACGGATTTTACTAAAACCCTAGTGGACTTGACTGAGCCTAAAGATACCGTGGTCAATTATAACACTATTATTATGCAACACTTATTGCTGTGCCAGCACCGACCAGAGACCATCTTAGTGAGTGCATCACCACCAATACATTTACCCTTTAAACTATCACAGAAACTTTACAATGGCCATTATAGACACTGGCAGACATTCGTTTTGTTTTACAGTAGTGCGCGTAAACCTTGAAGCCTATGTGATAGTTGATATTATTTCTCTCTTTCTTAGGATTTCATGTACTTTGAACAAAATTCTGGTGCAAATCAAGGAGGCTGGCAGTTAGGATAGTGACAAAATCCTGGATCTTGATGGAAAATGTCATGGTAAGATCTAGGTCTATTCATATAGAACATACTTGGGTGTGGGTGTTGTGTTTTAGGCTGGCCCAGTGGTAGCACTCTTGCCTCTGAATCAGAAGGTTGTGGGTTCAAGGCCCACATTAAGACTTGAACTCATATAATCTAAGCTGACACACCAGCCCAGTGCTGGGTTGGGGGGGGTTGCATTGTTGGAGGTGCTGCCCTTCGGATGAGACTTTAAACCTGTCTATCCAGGTAGAGGCTAAAGATCCCATAGAACTATTTTAAAAGAGAAGCGAGTTACTCCTGGTTTCCTGGCCAACAATTCATCAAATAAAAGAAATAAAAAATGGTCATTCACTTCATGACTGTTTGTGGGACATTACCGTGTGCAAATTGCAATTTTCACCCATGCAGTGTCCCACAAGGCCGCAAGTATCCATGTTAGTGTAGGTTTTACTCGACTGTGGATGGAGTGGACATGAATAGGGTTTTATCTTTCCATGCTTTTTTTTATAGTCGGGATACGTCACACATTATGATTAAACATCAAGTTTCAGCTATGCTTACAGGGAGAGACAGTGATGGCCAGAAGGTTCCTCTGGGAAGGGAAGGTAAATTGTTGGAGAAACTACCCAAGGTCTTACTCGGGCACCTTCAGATGATCTTTTTCAAACTGTGAGATAGACTTATGAGGAAGATTCTGGCTTCTTGCATTCTGTCTTGAGCAGCATACGGTTAGCATAAAGGGACGTAAACACATTTTATACTGTATTTAAAATGAACTATGTGGGCTTGTTTAATTTGTTTTGTATTAAGATCTAAATACACACACTGATTGCCTAGTATAGGTCACAGGAATATCTTATTGCTGTGTTGTGATCAATACAAATTATTCATTGCTTAACTTTTTTTTCCACATAGGAACTGTTACTGAAGGGTTTAAAGGTGACCTCCTTGAGCACAATGGAGGTCAATAATGTGCCTGCTTTAATTTCACCACAGAATTGATGATGAAAACAAGAATTCTTTGTGAATTTGGAGTCCACTGTGCTATTGCAATGTTTGACTTGGTTACTTTGCAAAATGTAACATTTATTTGCACTATTTTCTATCACGATTTGAAGTCAATCGTTCTGTAATAATGCTTTCATTGGTTACTTTGCAAAGATAACTTTTCACTTCATATTATTGGTAATTTATTTTGTACACCTTACAGTATTTTCTAACCAAAGCAGATGCTGATTTATCAGTACAGCTGGCATTGCCTCTTCACAATTGTAGTTTTCCAATTAACATGTTCCATATTTGTATTTATTTATTGTGGTAATTCTAGTCAACACTATAATTAAGATTAGACAACTTGTTCATCTATGTCAAATTATACTTTGTTAACATGAATGTCAGCACTAAAGATTTAGATTTTACTTAAGTAAAGTGCAGCAACCAGATGTTTTCTTTTGTAAAGTATATTTAATAAAAACAGTTACTGATGATGCCTTACACAATGATCTTTGTCACACATTTCAATTGTATCATCATTTGCAGACTTCCTCTTTATATTCATTGTGATAGTTTGCAAAAAGCCCAGAAGTGATGGCAAATTTATACATAACTGGGGGAAATTATTCCCAGGTCTATTTATGTAGCATTTCAGAGTGTTCAGAATTTAACATATTCTTAAATACAGACTTAATTTTGAAGTTGGGTTTCCATCAGTTCTCCTAAGAACTACCCAAAATTAGGTTCGAAGTTGAGTCTTAAATTCCATAATTTTGGTAAATTCTGGCTGCTCTAAAATGTTACAGATATAAAGTAAATCTAGACCCGGGTGGAAATTTTCCTAGTTCTTGGTTAAACCAAAATTGGATTGTACAGATCTGGCCATCGGTTCCTTGAGTAAATTGATCATTTACCTCATAACTGTTTGTTGGACTCTATCACTGGATAAAGGATAGAGAGAACTTCAACATTTTGAGAGAATGGATAGAGAAAAATTGGACCTGGATGGTGAATCAATAAGGGGTATAAGATCAGGATTATCACTGGAAACAGCAAGTGGAAGTTAGAGGATTGTTTTTGGCATGAGTTATTGAAGTTTAGCCTCTGTTTACCTAGCAGTCAGTAGGAACCTGGTTGTTAAGTTCATTGGCAGATCGCTTCCTGAGGGTAATCATCCCCTCAAAAAATAAATAAATAATTCACTGGTCACTCAATCCCCGACTGTTTTTCAGACACTGCTGTGCGCAATTGGCTGCCATGTTTCACCCACAAAATATAGTCAATCCACTTTACAATATATTCTGTGAAGTGCTTTGCGATGTCTCAATGACGTGATAATGCAAGATTATTATTATATTATAAATTAAAATTATCCCATTTAAAGGAGATTGGATAAATATGTTGAAAAAACAAAAGGGAATAGGAAAAGAGCAGAGAATTGGAATTCGGATCGAATCCAGTGAGAACCCAGTTCTACAAGTTTGATGTAAAAAAAACCAGTTGCATAATAATACAATGATATAATACCTAGTGGGGGTGTTGCAAAACTTGTACTTGCAGCACCTGATCTTTTTCTCCCTATAATGCTGTCCTATGCGGTTTCGTGTTGTCCACCAAATCGTCAGTGGGACAGCTTTCAATCATCCAGCCCCTGCTCTTTGGAGCTTGATTCTGGAGTCCCTCTGGGATAATATATGCGGCTTCTCATGTGACAAATTATCTCATCAAATCAGTTGTAAAAGGCTGCAGATGTTACCCTTATAATAAAATTATAAATCCTTGGTGTGAACATCAACAATGTGAAGAAAAGGAGAAAAAAAATTATAAATTCACAGAAATGAGTCCAACTGTGTGATCTCACTCAGCCTTTCTATCTGTCTAGAACTCCACCCCAGAGTTCCTCCTCTCCTTGTTCAAGCCTCGCCTCAAAACGAACATCTTTGACCATGCTTTGTCATCTTTCCCCTCACTATCCCTTCCTGCTGTGAAAAGTACTGTGTAACTGTAAAATGTATTGTCTGCCGCAGGATGAATATTTGCTGCTGTTAGAAAATAAAATCAGCCATAATCCGTTTGCAACCAGATATCTGACTGTTTATTATTATTTGTTCGTTATTCCCCAATATCCCGATGGGTCAGACCAAAGGCCGGTACAATCAACAGATCTTAGAACAATACCACCGTAGATATCTCGAGTTCAACACTGTGTCTTTACAGCACACAAGCTTGATTCTTCTTGCTTTCAGTCTTCTTGCTTACAGCTTTCAATCTTCCATCTGATATCCTCAGTCTTAGTGTTTCTAGCTCTCAGTCTTCCATCTCCCGTGCCCTTGTCTCCGTGACCCGGGATGGCCCTGTTCACAAAGTTAACGGACCTCTTCTACCAATGTTCATCCAATCATGGTGCGGACATTAGATCACCTGGCTGAAATCATGCTGGGTTCACGTGCCTCAGCACACATACACCTTGTCCTTAAGACCCCTGTTATCTAATTCTCTTTAGATAGAGGATTGATCAGTTTTGGGCTGTATCTGGTGCTCATTATTTTGTGGTGTGGGATCATTAGTACATTCCTTTTAAGTCGCTGGTTATTTCTTATCAGTATCTCGGGATGGTACCAAGGTCCTCTAGTTTAAGCAACTTGCTCATTAGTTGCTATTCTTGAGGGTTGCTTCTGTCGCTTGGCAGGCCCTGTCAGAATCTAGCGACTTATTGCTAAATTGAGATCCTGTGTCGACCCGGTACCTTGGACCGTTATCTCTGTGGGCGTGTTGTCATTTACTGATAAGAGGTGACACCCTGCCCTTTTCCAAAGCTGTCCTGTTATTCTTTCAAAAACAGAGAAAACCAGATGTGTCCAATCCCATGACTGTCAGTCCAGTTGCCCCCCACACTTAACTTAAAAGTTAACCCATTCACAACATCTATTATGATTCTAGCAGTATACAAAAAGTGTTTATTCTAACACTGCTGTCTGGTGGAGTGCATCTGTAACTGCACTAAATTAATCTAAGCTGTAAACCCACTCCTGTAGACCAACAGCAGCAGCAGCAAAGTGTTTCACAGGATTTCACTGTGAAGTGCAGTTATTGTGTCTTTTGTAGGCAAATACAAAAATATATTGTCAATCCACTTTACAGCATATACCTTGAAGCACTTTGAGCACCTCTCCACAACATGATAAGGTTCCTTATCAAATGCAGGAACATTAGTATTATTATTAAATAGGGCAGCCAGCAGCAGACATCAGGGGGCAGCACTCTCGACTGTGGGTTTGAGCCACCACATTGGGTCTTTGACTTTATGCTTTTGGCTGACATTCTAGTGCAGTGCTTTGGATGAGACGTAAAACCAAGATGTTTTATGTGACAGTTCAGGTGGACTTTAAAGATTCTGTGGCACATTTTGAGTAAATAAAGGAGCTATTGTTTGTTGTTTACAGAAAGACTGGTCTGGGTGAGATGTAAAGCTGATGCATGTGGATCCCAAACTTAGCTTACCAGCTTCACCTATTGCTTGCTGCTGCTCCTGCTATAACTAGCTGATGGCTGCTGCTACTACAAATTGTGAGAGGGAAAGTGGGAAAACAGGAGACAGCTAAAGACCCGAAAATGGTTATGTCCATATGAATGCTGCAGGTTTTTCTTACTCCTTACCCTTTTTGTTACCCGGTCTGTCTTGGAAATTCACACCTCGATACTGCTCTCATCTGCTTTGCTTTCCCTAAACCTCACTTTATCATCAGTTTATAACGTAGTTCCTGAATCTTGAATCAGTGATGAACATGCACCTCGCATCCTCAAAGAAAGTGCACCTTTGTGGCTGCTGGATATTAATAGGATTGGGATAGTCTCTGATGTCCTCTACAGACAAGTAGCTACAATTATTGATGCTCATTGTCCTCACTCACATGAAGAATAACTTCTTTGAAGAAGCATATTGCACTAACCCAAGTCGAAGATTGTAGGAAAGTATAATATATTGGCACATTGTTTTGATTTGGATCATTTGCCCTTCTTTTCAGTGGTTGATTTGGATCATTTGCCCTTCTTTTCAGTGGTTGAGTGGAATGCATCAGAACACATCATAACTCACTGTCATTGGGAAAGGATTGGACAATCCATGTTCATTGGGGCTGGGCTGTAATCAACAACAACAACAACAACAAGATTACATTTGTATAGTGCCTTTCACACCGGGAGAAGGTCCCAAGTGAAACATGGCTGTGTCTAATGTCTAATGACTCATCTCAGGTGGTCTCTGGTGCTGTGCACACTGCACATTCTGCAATCAACTCAATGTTGTGAACCCAACCAGTGTGAAGGTTAGGAATCTTAATACCTTATTTGCAATGAGAACTGGCATCATAATCTAGAGCAAAGCTGCTCTGCCTTTATTATTGCTGCTAACTCCTTGTTCCTACTTACACTGTTTCCTTGAAATGAAATTGTAAAATTTACTGACTATGTGTTTGTAGGTGAACGCAGCAGCCAATTTGCGCACAGCAATATCTCACAAATAGCCAAGAGGTGAATCATCAGTTTAACCGGAGGATTTTAGGCCAAGATACTGTGAGAAATTTTTTGAGTAGTGTTGTAGGATTTTTAACAACAATCTGAACAGCCAGACGATCTCAATTTAACACCTCATCTGAAGTACAGGATCCATCCAGCCTCGTACTGGAGTATCAGTCAAGCTCATAACTAAGCCAAGCTGATACCCTTTTTATAGCATCATTGCTTTTAAAAACCTCTCAGTTAACTGTTAAATGAAGTGATTGTATTTGTAAGCAAACATTTGCACCACAATCAAACAGTCATAAGACTGGTACAATGCAATCTGGAGGTTTGTTCCGCAGGACACTGGGAAAAACCTTATTTTCATAGTATTCATGGGATCCTTAGCATCTACCTGAACAGGCAGATGAGAATTAATTTTGACATCTCATTTTAAAAGATAGCACTAGAGCAATGTGGCACTTCCTCAGTACTGCTGTGACGTCCTAACATGCAGCATGGAGCCCACAATGTTTTGATGCAGAACTGAGAGTGTTCTGAGCCAAACCCAGCAAACGCATGTGATTTAATAAGGCTGGAAAAGATCACGTAAAATCTATTGTATTTTTGCTAGCACTAACCAAGAATGATGTCAGTACAGTATTAATTCTCAGTTGCTACAGTCTGTGGAGAGAGGATGGGGAAAAACAATCATAATCGAGCTGGTTTATTTGTCATCACCTGCTGCTTCTGTGTAAATGAATGACTGAACCACTAGATGGCTCCATTTACCTCAGAGATGACAGGTCGGGGTGATTAATTCAGCTCCATGAGCATTAATCAATGTCACATGATATTCCTATGACAAGTTACCATGAAGCTGGAAACTGAATTGAAGTAAGGAGTAAGAGAGTAACGTGTGTATAATATAATCTTATTTTATTCATTAAAGAAAGTGGAATGAAACCAGGACCAATACAAACTAAAAGCAGTGGACTAATGAAAGTACAAAGCATTTAACACAAACAATGGTTCTCTTCTGATAGTGCCAGGGTATATCAAATTTCTTTTTCATTTTAGATATGTAACTAGAGTAGATTAGGCTCAGTGGGTGATCACGGCATTGGGAGACAGATGTCCTGCCAGCACTATTTCTGCTCTTGTCATTTAGACCTGAGCTCCGGTTTCTGAACTGCATACAAATATAAAGAAACTCTGTCTGCTTGAGAAACAATAACAACTTGTATTTATATAGCGCCCCTCACACAGGGTAGCTTCCCAGAGCACTTGACACTGGCGGAGCACGATGCTGAGCCGAGGGCAGGGGGAGGTGACGGGAGCCACGGTCATATAGAAAGATCTTCAGGCGTGACCTGAAAATGGGAAAGGAAGGGGCAAGGCAGAGGAATAGAGGAAGAGTTTTCCAGAGTTTCGGGGCATAGTGGCTGAAAGCATTGCCACCAATGTTGGAACGGAGGGCACGGGGGACACGCATAAGACTCCGCGGAGCCAGTAGAGCGGAGACAGCAGATTATGGGTTGGGGGGTAAGCAGGTCGGAGAAATTGGGAGATACCAGTGCATGAAGAGATTTGAAAACCAGTGTGAGGTTTCTTGAAATCGATCTGTTAGGGAAAAAGGCAACCTTAAATAA